GGCAATGAATTAACTAAATAGTACTATAGCTACAGGTCAATCAATCAGAATCAATCATCAATTATACTGAACAGATTTTTAATATACAGTTTGAAGACAATATTGTTTAGTAAGTAACAGGATCCCAGAGTTATTAGAAATAATTCCGCTTTAACGACATATTGTGTACATGTCTTGCCACACCAAGGTACTTAGCCTAAGTATGTTGCTTAATATTTATGTACGGGCTCTTTTACATATATGGAAAAATCACCAAATAAGGGTATATTACCAAAGCATTGATGTTACCGGCAATTTGTTAAAGAATACACATTCAATTGAATTATTGAATGACGGACATTAGATGGCCCTGTTGAAAGATGAGTGTTTTGAAAGTAAAATGAACGTTGAAAATAATGAAGTGACATTATATGAACAGAAAGAAGGCTTAGGTTTAATTAAGGGTTTAATGGAAATATGAAATAAGTGGCTATCTAAGAGCAAGAGATGATAACAATCGTCATCTGTCTCTGCACCAAATTTTATCAAAATTACCTCAGTAGTTTTGATGCAAAATCATACAAATACATTTGTAATATGTAGGTACTCCTTTTTCATATACCTACATGGGATATTATATCTCACACATCACAGACATAACATAATAAAACTGAAACTACACTAAACAAGGCTAGACGTACATTTTTATTGATAGTAAAAATACAAAAGACTTTATGTCAAGGCTACGATTGCGTAATACCGAGTGTAATAGAGTGGCACTCATTTTAATGTTTTAAACATACTCTGAATAATGTAAAGCATGTAATATACACCACCTTTTTATGTCACAAGTACCTCATAATTTAAATGTACAGGATCAAGGACCTCTACAAGATTGCATGAAAGTAGGAGTCGTTAGTATGTATGAGAAAGTGTTCATTACTCAACAAGTTAGCAACTATATGTAGATATGAATAGCAATCATTGCTATACGCGATACGGAGAAATGAATAAATGGAGTAATGACATAAAGAATACGCAGCATCACGCCACAACCGCTTCACCAATGGCAAACGTAACCCTCTCTCAACCGAAGTCATTACTTCCATTTGCCAAATAGCATATTACTAATTATGATAATACAATAACTTTTTTGCGATACTCCGTCATACTAATGTTGTAGGCACGTGCAAACTCAAACAGCAAATAGACATAAAACTCTAGTGAATCAAAAGAAATAAAAAATTCAATTGGTATAATTGGGAGCACTGTCATTGTACCGCTGTGATCTCGATAGTACGTGCCATCAGCATGAGGCAAAACAAAAAACTGTGAAGCACAAACTTTCGGTGTTGTGAAATAGGCTTTAATGTAATGGAGCAGTTACAATCAGGAAGCCTTCTTAGATATAGAAATCTTGTCAAGTTGTTAACTCTTTTCCAAAGGAAGAGAAAATGTTGTATTGTATGTCTCCACCTGTATAAATTACCCTAATAAGTTAAACTACATAAATGAATGCAAAGAGTACTCACTGTAAACGCTGTTGTAATCTGTGGTGCCGTTGACTGTGCCATCCGGCAGCAGCTGCAGATAACGATTCTTGAGGAACATCTGTATGGTGCGGGAGGTGCCAGTTATGTGGCTCAGGTTGGCGGAGCGCTGCGCGCGCGGCTCGGGCGCGGGGGCCGCGGCAGCGGGCGCGTGCGCGAGCGCATGGCGCGCCGCGCCCATGGCAGCCGCCCGGACGCCGTCACTGCACAACACCGCCTCTCATACCCCGCTCAACTCCCCACGACTTCCACCACCCAGTCTCATCCAAATCTTTCCTTCTTTATTTATAAATCAGTTCGGTTGACTCTGACACGCATCATACCCAACACCTTCATATTACTTTTATTGCACCATATTATTGACAGCTTCTCGGTTTACAGGCGCCGCAAGTCGGGTTGTTCACACGATCTGAAACAAAATAATTGTGTGTTTAATAATAGAGTGTGGTGGACAAATTGGTAACCGATACACTGTACCGTCACGTGAACAATTGTTTAAAACAGGCACAGTAAATAGAATTAATAACGTCTAGACATTTGTGGTAAGGAAATTGAGTTAAAATGGGTTTTTGAGAATTTTCTGCGACAAGTTGATCGTTGTATACCTGAGTTTTATTTTAAGATTGAGATTGAAAAAAATACACATCACTGAGGCATCTTCAATGTAAATGACGACTGACATTATGTCTGTTGGCGATGCGATGCAGCAAATAAAACGATATCTCATGATACAATGTGTGAAGTACAAACAGTTACTGTTTAAATACAATGTGTTTGATTAAGATCCTAATCTGAACGAGTAAAAACAATGAATCAGATGACCTTTTGAAAATATTAGTGCAAGTTGAAGGTGTCAATGCGTCAGACGTCGAGGATAACCAACTGTATGCTGCAGCAAAGTCAATTATAATGTCATGTCAAAGTCTAATAGCCGATACACATTATCAGAAGGTATCTTTGATAGCGATGCACTGCAAAATTTATTAGAAATAGCATTCAAAACGTGTATTACACAGATTTATTTGCATAGGCGTGCCACAATTAGGTATTGGCAACAATTTCATTTACATTTTTATTTAAGTTAAACAAAGAGTAGATTATTAGACATTTATAAAAAGCCGATGACAAGATTAAACACGAAGTATCGTATCAAAACATTTTGAGGTTGAACAAAAATAAAAAAATACATTTAAATACAATTTATAGGGAGATCGTTGCCAAGGAAAGTCGATAACGTATAGCTACTGATCGGTAAATTTGTAGGTCGACAATCTGTCGGACTTTCAACATTTACATGCGATCCGATCGCCGTTGCGGCAGGCGACCAGTCAAAGATAAGGAGTAAGTAACTGTCTTTATTTGTAGACCTGTACTGACTCTAAGTTCTAACGAAGCTATCTAAATTTTCCTATTCGATTCAGTCTTGTTCACTTTCAAACACTTGCTTGATAACACTGCAACTGATATTTCCTTTACCTCATTTCTAAATTCATTCGTTTTGGTTGCTGAATTAATATCTAAATCGACGACTACTTTTCACACTCTTTTTCACATTTTCATTAATGTTTTTATTTAGAAAGCGCTTTCTTTTAACCCTTCGGCTCAGTCTACTGTAATCAAGTTTCGTTCAAATTGTGTCATCGCTGATAACTGAATATGGATCTTCCTAACCATTATTAAAATTAAGTTTATTTTTATTTAAAGTTTTTATATTAGTAAACGAATTCTTCACAAATGAGTTCAAGTCCATAACAATATTATCAATAGCAAAATTTACGACGTTTTTGTCCCACATACTCAATTATTTGATGATTTTATTGATTCATACCACTTGAAGTTTGACGTGATCGAATCGTGTAGAGTAATGATTGAATCTGATTGTGAATGTCCATGATTTCAATGTAGCAAACCGGGTCATGTATTTGTAATTTGCATTTGTATTTGTGAGCAAAATTTGAATACTTATTACAAAAAAAAACAATCATACCTACAATGAATTATTGAAAATACTTTTACAATTGAGCCGACTGTAAACCGACACATGCGTACTGCCTTCAGAACGGGTCCGCTCAAACTGTTGTGGTTCTTTCCTCAAAAGGCCACTACAGAAAGAACTTGCACGGTTCTCACACATAATCTATTATACATATTGTCTGGACTTTAAAAGAGACAGACCTCTGAGTTTGTTTCGGCATTTCTTCTCAGAGTAGTCAGTTAGGAAATGTCGACCTCATCGTTCGCTTGATAAAATTGACGTGTAAAAGTGCTGCTTTGTAGCCTATTTGCAGAAATAAATTCACTTGTTTCACTTGTTTCACTTGTTTCACTTGTTTCACTTGTTTCACTTGTTTCACTTGTTTCACAACAAATTAAATATTAAACTCCTCTTCACACAGACGAAAGTTTAAGAAACAGTTTCTTCACTATCTCCGTTTCCTTAAATACAGTCTTCTAAACTGTAATAGCTTTCTCCATAGTTAATAGTATCAAGCAATCCACTAACACAATCTAGTATCAATTTGTCAACCTGTTTTATGTAATTGAATGGACCGAGAAATCCGCCGACAATGGTTTGAAATTGCAAATGGGTACAAGTTGGATCCCCTTCTTATTTTGCCATCTACAGCTAATTGGTAGCATTGAACTTTAGGTTTGGTTCAATCCTAGATTTGTAAATACAGACTGAATTCATACAACACAGTGTAATAAGGTGACCATACCGATTCTATCTGAATATAGGCATAACACTATTTTTGCTTGTACCCAAAAAGGTCGTAACAAACACGCTTTTCATCAGTCATGTTATAAGTTGTAGGCTTTTTGCTGCAGCTGACAATTTCGAAATCCACAAAACCAATAACACTTTACTCGACTCACCGAAACCCAATCACTTACAACTACCAAACCAACAAGGCAGTCATAACAAAGACGAAAAAAATCACATAAAAAAGATAATTGAGAATTGAGATCTATTTACTTGGCACTTGACAACAGCGTGTTACAGAAATACACAACAAAAGCGAATCCCATCACGATTTTGACGACCGTATCAAATAGGCATTACAATGAATTTAGAACCATTAGAAACGCACTTCTATCAATACAGCATCAGAAGGAATAAATCATCAAAGTTTTTGTCTTCTGCAGCTGTTAAATGTATGATTATTAGATTACGATCATCATTTCCTACTTCTGTGCTTGTCAATCATATTTTATTGATGTCATTTGTAAGATGAGTGATTGATATGGATTGATTGGTTTTGGTGATCATGATTCTCCTGATTAATTTTCAAGTCAAGTTCAAATGTCAATGAAGTAGTACAGTTTTCCTATGTATTGTTTTCGCAAAACCACTTAATTAAAATCTCTCATGGTACTGTTATACATACTAATCTCAAGCACGAAAGCATGATTCAATTGAGCACTGGACACTTAGTAGCACATGTGTCGGAATGTTGCTCAAAATTTTGACGTTCGATTTTTGAACATTTTTGAGCATGATCAATAGAACGCTTTTTAGCATGCTATTTTGGATACTTTTGTATTTCAGGAAATTTCACGGCAATCTCAACTTTAAGTTCACTGACATGTTCAGCATTTAATAGGCACTTGTTTCAAGAAATCACGTCAGTATTATCTCAACTTATTCAAGTCGTTATTGCGTCAACAAACGCGTTAAGATAACAAGAGATTCATGCGATACATTCGATTACAATAAGCTTTCTATGCATCTGAATTGTAAATTTTTAGAGTTCTCTATTCCTTGCTGTGAAAACCTATTCGAGTTATTTTAAACCTATGTTAAATACCGAAATACTATAAGCCACGAATAAAAGACAAAATGCCAGAAAAAGTAAGAAACCTTTGGATTAAAACTCATGCTTTAGGAAAAGAGTTTGCTCCCAAAATCAAAGCACTGAAAAAAAAAAACAAATACACCAGAACTCTTTTAAAAAATAATGATCATGTAAATTCCAAAATAAAGGAGCTAATATCCCTAAAGGAACATGGTAGCAGTTCCAATCCAGTGGATGCAACTGAACGCCCGTATTTTACACGTATCGACTCCCGCCTGACCTCGACGACCCAACCACTAGCACCGGTAAATTCTATCGGCATAAATCGATGTACGGAACCATTAATGCTTTTCCACACACCTTCGTACTTATTCCCGTCCTTATCTTGAGATAGAGTGCGGTCCAACGAAGCAATCTATCTTTATTGCCTTGTAATCTATCGATCGGTATTATAATTGTTTGATTTTAAATCCGAATCAACATTACACCACATTCTTTTGAGATTTGTTTGTTATTATTCCCTGAGTTGTTAACAAGCAAATTATTATAATCTGTTATGTTAATTGGTTTGAATCTGTGAGATAGATGTATCCAGTTGTCAGGCATTTGTACTCCTCATCGATCGAAAGCACATGACTAGATTTTTTAACTGTCTTGCTTTATGTCCAGAAACATCAAAGTAATATTTATGTTTACGTGTCAAAGGTAAAAAACAAAAAGTTACGCAAGAAAAATTATCTTCATTAGATAGTGGATTCCAAAAATAAAATATCGATCAATGAGTAGCGTGTTGTAAGATTTGCACTATGTGAAACGGAGCCAATAACAACAACACACCTGGCTAAAATTTGATACAATTAACACCTCTGCGGTGACTAAAATAAAGAAAAATACCTTGAGAAATCCAACTGCACAACCAAAAAGTTCAATGAACTTGCATAATTGCTTATTCGGTGAATTAATCTTGCATTTCAATCGAATACTCCATCGAATAAATTAAAAAACGAGCTTTGGCATACGATTAATAATGTCAAATGCCGCGACAGGTTCTACAACTAATTTAATATCATTTGAATGACCTTGACATGCATACAAATGAAATATTTAAGGTCATAACGATTCATAATCCAGTATTATATCGATATAATACTGAATTATTCGATGTTTTTATCGATAAGTATCGGGGATGTGTCAAATCAATTCGCTGGGATAACTGGGTGGTCGCGATTATGTGCAGTAACATTTATTAATAAGTAATTTGATGGTTGATATGACTGACGGACTTATAATGCAGATATAGTAAAGTAACATAAAGCTTGTTTTATTATTTTAGTCAGTGGACACCGTTTTGCTATCAATGATTTCGTCTTCGAAATATGTAAACATACTTAAGTAATTATAAATTAATACTTTACCCAAATTCCAAAACAATTCAACACGAGTCACGGCCAATGTCCGACCAATCACACTTAACATAATAATGTCACATCAGAACCACGGCGTAGTACTTCCAAAAAATCTTTTTATTTGCAAACGCTTAACTAAAAACCAAAAAGCCGTTAAAACTTCAAACTTCGAAGAATTCATTCACAAACATTATACGCAAACTAAT